AGGAAAGTCAAGCCACCGCTCGAATCAGAGGCGCCAAGTATTTTCTCTGCCTCTAAGCCTCTATCAAAACCAGTGCGCTCAGAGGTACGCGAGGAAATGTCGGATACTGAATCATTGTCAGTTTCTGATTTTAATGAGTCACGTCGTTTTTTCTTGCTACCTGCTTGACAATAAAGACAAGAAAATTGGCGTATGAGAAATTAGTTCAGTACATACATAATTTTAACGAGTAATTTTGCCTACCTGAAGTTTTCTCTTCAGACTTGCGTTTATTACCAGCAGCACTAGTACGTCCACTGCTGCTAGCTTCCTTTTTACTGGACGAATCTTTTTTCTCAGGTGGTTTACTGGATGTGGCAGGCTGAAAACGTTATGGTAAATGGAGTTATTGAACATATGTGATGAGATTGGGAGAATGTTTGTTTGATTGTTATATATAGACAGTCATGTGAAAAATAATAGGGACACGACATTTTTAACAGTTGGGGATTTTGTTCTTATGTCTGTTTAATGTTCATAATTTCATTATCTAACAAAAACTATAAAAATTCAAACTTGTACAACAAACTTTTTATTCGTTCCCACGACAGTCGGGTCTACGTAAGCGATTTATATTTGGCCAAGCACTGTCATTCCAGCAGCACTCCCCAAAACCTCTTTGGGGAACTTGTATGTTGCTACAACAACAACAACAACAAAACTTTTTATTAAGGATTTTTGGAAAAGTTCAAGGCACAGTTTTATAGCCCATTAAATGATAGCTTAAGAAAGTTCAAGTTTTAAGTGGCTAAGTATTCGCGTTGATTTTGATAATTAATGGTGTAATAATTTTCTTCCTTACAAAAAGATTCGAACACACATACTTTCTATGGAAGAATATGCGTGACAGTCAGCAAAAAGAATTATTATCAAAAAGAAACGCGAATTATTAGCCACTTGAAGCTTGTGTTTTCTTAAGCTAGAATTGAATGGGCTATAAAACTGCATTCTTAGAATTTTTCTAAAAGCTCTTAGTAAGGTTTGTTAAAATTTGGAATTAACAGGCAGGTGTGCAATTCACTTCGCATACATACGTATGGCCAACACAATAGCACGCCCATTTCGAAATGATATTGTTTGCCACTCATGTTTATTTATTTATTTTTAGGAATTTTCAATTAAAATACAGTTCATTCTCTAACAAGACCCATAAAAGTCTAAGTTTAAAACTTTATAGAAAACTAGAAAAAATGCAACAAATATTCACCCAAAATTTCAATCTTTTTTCTCAGAAGTGTTAGAATTTTTTCGAGTACACTGTTTTATGGGCCATTAAATTTTATATCCCAATTTTGTATCGGTGACAAACATTTTTTACTAACAAATTTAAACTTTTTCATATATTTTCCCGTAAAAAACACTGTCACTGATACAGAATACGAGCCGTAAGTCTAATAATGTGCATATTTCAAGGGGCTAAAAACCACCGTTGATTTTTTTCGCCGGAGGTGCTTCGGGTTTCTTCCATATAAAACTAAATTGTGTTTATTCGTTATATGGAAGCATACGCGACAAAAAAAATTCTAAAAAATCAATGGTAATTTTTATCCACTTGAAATTTGCACATTATCAGACTAAAATGTGCTCAAAAATATTTTAACACTTCTGAGTAAAAAGTCTGCAATTTAGGT